TGTTCGTGCGGGCTCCAAGAGCTAGAATTACAGGCCGTGAGCGCACAGCCGCCCCGGCCTCCATAGGCAAACAGGAGATTCCCTAAAGTAAAACTACCAGTATCCGAAAAAATTATCCTGGTCCGCCTTGTAATCCTAGCACTCTGGGAGGCCAAGGCGGCGGGATTGCTCAAGGTCAGGAGTTCTAAAACCAGCTGAGCAAGAGCGAGACCCGTCTTAACTATAAAAAAGAGAAAATTAATTGGCCAACTAATATATATAGAAAAAAATTAGCCGGGCATGGTGGACATGCCTGTAGTCCCAGCTACTTGGGAGGCTGAGGCAGGAGGATCGCTTGAGCCCAGGAGTTGAGGTTGCTGTGAGCTAGGCTGACGCCACGGCACTCACTCTAGCCTGGGCAACAAAAGCGAGACTCTGTCTCAAAAAAAAAAAAAGAATTCCTTTTATGAAAAAAAATTGCTAGAAGGGGGAGGGAAAGGCAGCTGTGTAAGCAGGTGTCCCTAAGTCTGCACTAAAACATGCATTCCCAAAACACAATAAAGTGGCTTAGCCACCTACACATAATTGATAATTTACTATTTTGTTCTTCACTTGGCCACTGCTAGGTAGCTTGGCCTACCTGGTTATTGGGCTTTTTTTGAACATTTCCAGTGGTTTTGTCTCAGTAGACATGGCCAGATGTTTCTATCTCTATATAGGGTGTCATTTGGCAGACTTTGGAAAAGATGAGGTAGAGTTTGTAGTAGAACCTGAAGATTGATCTTACAAAATTGTTCTGTGCAAATGCAAACTGAATGAATTATATTTCATAATAAAAGGATTAGGGAAGAAAGAAGAAAATAGGAAAAGATTTGGTCTTTTTTTTGGTGGAAACTCTTTGAGGTCACTTTTATTTTAGTACATTTTGCCTGCATATGTTTCTCTGATTTTTTTAGATTCAGATGCAAGTTTACAATCATTTGCTTAGTTTATTCTTAAGTTATAGGCAAGGTCTGTACCTATAACATGTAGCTACCTGTTGACAAACTCTTAGCTTCTTAAAACAAATTGCATCCAGTCCTATAATTTCATTTGACTAATGTGATTTTCTGAAGTATGCCAGTCTTTAATGCATTCATTTGTGGTTTTTTTTTCCAATCAGTAACAATGAAAGATAACAACTGTTTTCCACACCTGTCATAAGTAGTAACTAGAACATCTTTGAAACTTTTCTCCCCAGTCACTTTCCTTTTGGGGCAAAAGCGACAAGTTTCCTTGAGCCATCCTCAATGCTTTCACCTATCACTCCTTACCAGTAACATTAGGTATGAGGTATTGACTAAGGCACTATATCACATTAATCTCCATATATTCATAATTTCAAAAACCCTTCCCTGCCCAGAAAATTTTTATTCCTTCCTTTAAGGCTCAACTCATAGCTCCCTATACCTTTTAACAGTTAATCACTTAGCCATAGTTTATAATTATGAAACATAATTATTTGACTATTGTCTGTTTCCATTTCCCACCACCATTATTATAAGCTCCTTGAGATCAGGATCCTTGTCTACTTTTATATCTCCAGCCCCTAACATGTTTCCTGGTACACAACTGGCACTAAGTAAATATTTTTAAATGAATTAATAAATTAATGACTCAATAAATGCCTTCATATATTGTATTCTTCTTGAATTATTTCCTAATCTCTTCAACCACTACCCCCATATCCCACCCTACTGACACAGTTGAACATTTCCTCTTCTGTATGTCATTGGAAATTTGCAAGTAAGTTGGGTGACCAACCGTACATCAGGTTTTCCTGGAACATCCTCAGTTTATGCTTATTGTGTCTGCATAATTGTTAGTAAATACTCCCTTCATTCCCAAAAGTATCCTAGCTTGAATTGTAATTGCTGTTCTCACCCTCTATATAACTATATTTCAGTACTTCCTAGGGCCACCTCTAGCCAATATTTTACTAGTTTGCAAGTTCTTTGAGGACAGGCTCAGTTCTGGTTTCTCTTCCTAACCCAGGGGCTTAGCACAGTATGTGGCACTCGGTGACTGTTGTTTTGAATGAAAAGACATTCCTGTACCTTGTCTAAAGAAGTTCACATTCTGGGGCTGAGCATGGTGGCTCACACCTGTAATCCTAGCACTCTGGGAGGCCGAGGCAGGCGGATTGTTTGAGGTCAGGAATATGAGACCAGCCTGAACAAGAGTGAGACCCCGTCTCTACTAAAAATAGAAAGAACTTAATTGGACAGCTAAAAATATATAGAAAAAATTAGCCAGGCATGGTGGCACATGCCTGTAGTCCCAGCTACTTGGGAGGCTGAGGCAGGAGGATTGCTTGAGCCCAGGAGTTGGAGGTTGCTGTGAGCTAGGCTGATGTCATGGCACTCTAGCCCAGGCAACACAGTGAGATTCTGTCTCAAAAACAAACAAAAAAAAGTTTACATTCTGAAACAAAACAAAACAAACACACACAACACACATGACACCCACTTACACAGGTTTAAGCACAGACAACCAACATTTTTTTAAAAAACTTCTTGCTTAAGGCTTTGAAAGGTAAATCCAAGTTTATTTTTACTAAATTATTTATTTCTCTTCTATTTTAGGTTACAGAGTAAGAAACTTTTGCAATAATAACTAGTAATCTCCATGAGGGTTTCCTATATTTATGGGATTTTCTCTGATTTTAAATTTGCTATTGTATGTCTACATGAATATGGTGAAAGTGTTCACACCAATGTCAGTTTGGACAGAACTAAACATCAGATAGTAGAGAATGAGAAAAACATTCTGTGGTTCACTAGCTAAGAGTGGTCAAACTTGTTTTTTACAAGTACCATTTATTTACCAAGAAAATATGAATTTAGTCTTATAAACAGTTGGTTTTAAGTGACTTTGAAGCTGTGATAAAAATGTAGGGGGAAATATTTCAATGTCCTTTGTACACTGGAAATTATCTTGAGGAGAATAAAATGTAAGTCAGATAGTAAATGTGGAACTTATAAAGGAAATGGGCTTTAAAATTCAAATAACAAATATTAATGCAGAAGTGAAAGTGCAATGGCTGTCTATGTGTTGGTTAATTCATTAAGGGAAAATTTTAAAGTCACAGTAGCAGTGTAATCATTAGAGAAGTCAGTATATGGTGCCTGAATGTCAGTTCTGAGAAGTCAGTTCTCTGTGACTATGTTTCCAAATGTGACTCCTAAAATAAGCATGCAGTTTTCCATAACAGTCTTCAAACTATTGGTGGCTTTTCTTCTCACTTACAGAAATAGGATTGAGGTGTAACTGGAAATCCCTGGTACACTGGTCATATAGGTAGCCTAGTTTTAGATGGGTGAGCACAGCTGCTGCCTGAAGAACTCATCAGTGCTCACAGGTCTACAGCCTTGCCTGTCAGCCCTCTTTTATTGGAAAAAAAAAAAACCACTCAGCCAGTAATCCTAGCACTCAGGAAGGCTGAGGCGGGTGGATCGCTCAAGGTCAGGAGTTTGAGACCAGCCTGAGCAAGAGCGAGACCCCATCTCTACTAAAAATAGAAAGAAATTAGCTGGACAACTAAAAGTATATATAGAAAAAATTAGCCGGGCACGGTGGCGCATGCCTGTAGTCCCACCTACTCAGGAGGCTGAGGCAGGAGGATTGCTTGAACCCAGGAGTTTGAGGTTGCTGTGAGCTAGGCTGATGCCACGACACTCACTCTAGCCTGGGAAACACAGTGAGACTCTGTCTCAAAAAAAATAAAATAAAATAAAATAAAATAAAATAAAAAAGAAAAGAAAAGAAAAAAACTCATTTGAGTCTATTGCCATATATATATATATAGTGTTCTGTTCACTTTTCTAAGCACTTGCCTTATACATCTTATGTAATCTTTACCCTATGAGGTAGCTGCCAATATCCTCATTTTACACATAAGGAAACTGAGGCTCAAAGAGAAGAAAACACTGTGGCCTGATGAGAACTGAAACCTGCCAGGACAGTCAAGGTAGGTGGAAGAAGGGGTTTAGAAATAAAATTGTCCCTAGTTCTCTTCTGTAATGAATATTATTTTAAATATGTTCTGGCTTTTCATGCAAGTTGAGTTGATTTTCTCCTTTTGTTTACCAATTACAATAAATAAAAGAGGCTGAAAATACATTCAAGAGTATACACACACCCCTTTCCTTATCTGGAAAACACCTCTCTGTTACCCTTACAGCCTACTTCAGTTATCTGAAAGCAAATTTAATGGTGTCTCCCAAGTAGATGGGGTTCCTTATATTGTGCAAAGAGTAATTCTAGAGAGGATGTATTCTTCAGGAGTAGATTTCAGCCGTATCAAGGAAGACCTGGTGTGGGATCTGGAAACACTTCCCTGGCAGAAAGGAAGAAGAGAGTCCTTCCAAGATTTTTTATACATACATACATATATATATATATATATATATATATATATATATATATATGGAGAGAGAGAGAGAGAGACATATATATATGTGTGTGTGTATTTGAAGATATATATTATTGAAATACAATGTTTCTCTTTCTCCAACTTGTTGTGATAAGCAGAAAGCTATTTAGCTATTTAGTTATTTTTTTGTGTGAGGGGGGATTATAACATTATTGCCACCATTGAAATTTGTATGTCCAAAATTATTAGCGAAGTAAGGACTCTATATTTTTAATGTGAGCCTACATAATTGTAAGCAGAAAAATCAAATGCCAGAGAACCTGTAGTTTCTTTGGAAGAAACCTCTGTATTCTAAAATTATTTTCCAGAAGTTTAATAAACATGACTGTGGTATGTATGTTTATTTGTAGGGACTGCTAATATCTGAATACACCAAACCAAACAAGCAAACTCTTGCACCATTGCTACCACGACATTTTATCACAGAGGAATGCCACTGTATGTGGATTCCAAGCAGGCTAAAAAGAAAAAGAGCTGATTAGACTTCAGACTGCCCACTGAACGGGATGACGGCCACAGCTGCGGTGGAGACACCAAAAATGGAGAAGAGTGCCTCCAAGGAAGAGAAGCAGCAGCCGAAGCAGGATAGCACAGGGCAGGGCAATCCTGATTCTGAAGAGTGGATGAGTTCTGAGAGTGACCCAGAACAAATAATCCTTAAGAGCGGTGACAACAACAAAAGGTGTCAACCTGGAGATGGTCAGTTGAAGAAAAAGGAGATGCCCACCAAGCCACACCGTCAGCTCTGTCGATCACCCTGCCTGGATCGCCCAAGCTTCTCCCAGAGCAGCATTTTACAGGATGGTAAGCTCGACTTGGAGAAGGAATACCGAGCCAAGATGGAGTTTGCTCTAAAGCTGGGCTATGCAGAGGAACAGATTCAATCTGTGCTCAACAAGCTGGGCCCAGAATCACTTATTAATGATGTGTTGGCAGAGCTTGTCAGACTTGGTAACAAAGGTGATTCAGAAGGGCAGATCAACTTAAGTCTATTAGTACCTCATGGGCCCAGCTCCAAAGAGACTGCAAGCCCTGAATTGTCTCTTGAAGATGAAATAGACAACAGCGATAATTTGAGGCCAGTTGTCATTGACGGAAGTAACGTAGCGATGAGGTAAGCCTGGTATGTTTTATTTTTTTCTGTTTTTTTAAAAAACTGCCCTGTGCTCATAGAAATCATCTTCCTTTACAAAGCACTGTAAGGGCTTTACAAAGCCCTTGGTGGTTGTATGTGGTTTGTGTTCCTGTAGGTGAACAAAGGCTAAAATGATCCTTTCCTTGCCTTTTCTCTCTCCTTTGAAATTGCTGACAATTTCTTTTCAAGTGTTCTAAAGGCAGCTTAGACATAAGTGTTGCTTCAAAGGAGATAGCCATTCAGATTTGTTCCTCTTGGAGTCTGCTGTCCCAACCCTACTCAGCTAATCATCCTGAAAATGCTATTTTTATAATGTCACTTGGGGGGCTTACTTAGGAACTTTCAGTAACTCCCAATTGCTATTCTACCAAGTTTGGATCCCTTTCCCTGGCTTTAAGTTTCTTTGTGATCTGGCCTTTCCCTCCTCCTATTTTATTGCATCTCTCACAATTCTTGCATTTATATCAGTCTATTTAATGGTCTCCACGTAAATTATGCTGATTTCTACCTCCACTACTTGTGTTCATGCCATTTTCCAACCTAGAAGTGATCTCCTCCTTATCTTCATACCCATCAATATGCACCACTTCCATAATACCTTCTTTTTTTTTTTTTTTTTTTTTTTGAGACAGTCTCACTTTGTCGCCCAGGCTACAGTGAGAGCCCTGGCGTCAGCCTAGCTCACAGCAACCTCAAACTCCTGGGCTCAAGCGATCCTCCTGCCTCAGCTCCCGAGTAGCTGGGACTACAGGCATGTGCCAGCATGCCGGCCAATTTTTTCATATATATGTTGGCCAATTAATTTCTTTCTATTTATAGTGAGACGGGGTCTCGCTCTTGCCTCAGGCTAGTTTCAAATTCCTGACCTCAAGCAATCCGCCCGCCTCGGCCTCCCGGAGTGCTAGGATGACAGGCATGAGCCACCGCGCCTGGCTGACAATACCTTCTTGATTTTTCAGATCCCAGTGACTGTCTCTGAACTACAGTGTCTGTGGTAGGCTAAATGATATTCCCCCAAATATGTCTACATCCTAATCTCTGGAACCTGTGAATACATTATCTTACATGGAAAAAGAGACTTTGCAGATGTGATTATGGATCTTGAGATGGAGAGATTACCTGGATTATTAGGGTGGGTTCCATGTAATCACAGTAGAAAGAGATGTGATAGCAGAAATAAGAAAATGGAGTGATGTAGAAAGGGGCCTAAGCCAGGAATGCGGGTGGCCCTGGAAGCTGAAAAGGGCGAGGAAACAGATTCTTCTCTTAAGTATATATATTTTGTTCTGTTCACTTTTCTAAGCACTTGCCTTATACATCTTATGTAATCTTTACCCTATGAGGTAGCTGCCAATATCCTCATTTTACACATAAGGAAACTGAGGCTCAAAGAGAGAAAACACTGTGGGCCTGATGAGAACTGAAACCTGCCAGGGACAGTCAAGGTAGGTGGAAGAAGGGGTTTAGAAATAAAATTGTCCCTAGTTCTCTTCTGTAATGAATATTATTTTAAATATGTTCTGGCTTTTCATGCAAGTGAGTTGATTTTCTCCTTTTGTTTACCAATTACAATAAATAAAAAAGAGGCTGAAAATACATTCAAGAGTATACACACACCCCTTTCCTTATCTGGAAAACACCTCTCTGTTACCTTACAGCCCTACTTCAGTTATCTGAAAGCAAATTTAATGGTGGTCTCCCAAGTAGATGGGTTCCTTATATTGCTGCAAAGAGTAATTCTAGAGGGATGTATTCTTCAGGAGTAGATTTCAGCCGCTATCAAGGAAGACCTGGTGTGGGATCTGGAAACACTTCCCTGGCAGAAAGGAAGAAGAGAGTCCTTCCAAGATTTTTTATACATACATATATATATATATATATATATATATATTATATAATATTAATGGAGAGAGAGAGAGAGACATATTATGTGTGTGTGTATTTGAAGATATATATATTGAAATACAATTGTTTCTCTTTCTCCAACTTGTGTGATAAGCAGAAAGCTATTTAGCTATTTAGTTATTTTTTGTGTGAGGGATTATAACATTATTGCCACCATTGAATTTGTATGTCAAAATTATTAGCAAGTAAGGACTCTATATTTTTAATGTGAGCCTACATAATTGTAACAGAAAAAATCAAATGCCAGAGAACCTGTAGTTTCTTTGGAAGAAACCTCTGTATTCTAAAATTATTTTCCAGAAGTTTAATAAACATGACTGTGGTATGTATGTTTATTTGTAGGGACTGCTAATATCTGAATACACCAAACCAAACAGCAAACTCTTGCACCATTGCTACCACGACATTTTATCACAGAGGAATGCCACTGTATGTGGATTCCAAGCAGGCTAAAAAGAAAAAGAGCTGATTAGACTTCAGACTGCCCACTGAACGGGATGACGGCCACAGCTGCGGTGGAGACACCAAAAATGGAGAAGAGTGCCTCCAAGGAAGAGAAGCAGCAGCCGAAGCAGGATAGCACAGGGCAGGGCAATCCTGATCTGAAGAGTGGATGAGTTCTGAGAGTGACCCAGAACAGATAATCCTTAAGAGCGGTGACAACACAAAAGGTGTCAACCTGGAGATGGTCAGTTGAAGAAAAGGAGATGCCCACCAAGCCACACCGTCAGCTCTGTCGATCACCCTGCCTGGATCGCCCAAGCTTCTCCCAGAGCAGCATTTTACAGGATGGTAAGCTCGACTTGGAGAAGGAATACCGAGCCAAGATGGAGTTTGCTCTAAAGCTGGGCTATGCAGAGGAACAGATTCAATCTGTGCTCAACAAGCTGGCCCAGAATCACTTATTATGAGTGTTGGCAGAGCTTGTCAGACTTGGTAACAAAAGTGATTCAGAAGGGCAGATCAACTTAAGTCTATTAGTACCTCATGGCCAGCTCCAAAGAGACTGCAAGCCCTGAATTGTCTCTTGAAGATGAAATAGACAACAGCGATAATTTGAGGCCAGTTGTCATTGACGGAAGTAACGTAGCGATGAGGTAAGCCTGGTATGTTTTATTTTTTCTGTTTTTTTAAAAACTGCCCCTTGCTCATAGAAATCATCTTCCTTTACAAAGCACTGTAAGGGCTTTACAAAGCCCTTGGTGGTTGTATGTGGTTTGTGTTCCTGTAGGTGAACAAAGGCTAAAATGATCCTTTCCTTGCCTTTTCTCTCTCCTTTGAAATTTGCTGACAATTTTTTTCAAGTGTTCTAAAGGCAGCTTAGACATAAGTGTTGCTTCAAAGGAGATAGCCATTCAGATTTGTTCCTCTTGGAGTCTGCTGTCCAACCCTACTCAGCTAATCATCCTGAAAATGCTATTTTTATAAGTCACTTGGGGGCTTACTTAGGAACTTTCAGTAACTCCCAATGCTATTCTACCAAGTTTGGATCCCTTTCCCTGGCTTTAAGTTTCTTTGTATCTGGCCTTTCCCTCCTCCTATTTTATTGCATCTCTCACAATTCTTGCATTTATATCAGTCTATTTAATGGTCTCCACGTAAATTATGCTGATTTCTACCTCCACTACTTGTGTTCATGCCATTTTCCAACCTAGAAGTGATCTCCTCCTTATCTTCATACCCATCAATATGCACCACTTCCATAATACCTTCTTTTTTTTTTTTTTTTTTTTTTTGAGACAGTCTCACTTTGTCGCCCAGGCTACAGTGAGAGCCCTGGCGTCAGCCTAGCTCACAGCAACCTCAAACTCCTGGGCTCAAGCGATCCTCCTGCCTCAGCCTCCCGAGTAGCTGGGACTACAGGCATGTGCCAGCATGCCCGGCCAATTTTTTCTATATATATTAGTTGGCCAATTAATTTCTTTCTATTTATAGTAGAGACGGGGTCTCGCTCTTGCTCAGGCTAGTTTCAAATTCCTGACCTCAAGCAATCCGCCGCCTCGGCCTCCCGGAGTGCTAGGATGACAGGCATGAGCCACCGCGCCTGGCTGACAATACCTTCTTGATTTTTCAGATCCCAGTGACTGTCTCTGAACTACAGTGTCTGTGGTAGGCTAAATGATATTCCCCAAATATGTCTACATCCTAATCTCTGGAACCTGTGAATACATTATCTTACATGGAAAAAGAGACTTTGCAGATGTGATTATGGATCTTGAGATGGGAGAGATTACCCTGGATTATTAGGGTGGGTTCCATGTAATCACAGTAGAAAGAGATGTGATGCAGAAATAAGAAAATGGAGTGAGTGATGTAAGAAAGGGCCTAAGCCAGGGAATGCGGGTGGCCCTGGAAGCTGAAAAGGGCGAGGAAACAGATTCTTCTCTTAAGCTTGCAGAAAGAACACAGCCTTGCTGTGATTTGGACTTCTGACCTCTTAAATTGTAGGAAAAGAAACTGGTGTTGTTTTAAGCCACTAATATGGTAATTTGTTACAGCAACAAAGGGAGACTAATACCTATAGTGGCTTCATACTTTATTCCATATTCTCTCATATAATTGTTTGTATTTCATGTCAGAGAGCCTTAGGAATCCCTTCTTATGTTTACCAAATCAATTGTCATCCAGCCTTGGCTTAAAAATTCCCAGTAATCAGGAGACTATTTTCTATTGATCCATCGTTGCTTGATGGACTTACTGGAATCCTTAGACTGTAAGCAATCAGAACAAAGTAAAAAATCCTTACTCTAGTAAGTTTCAAATTAGATTATCCCATTGTATTTGAGGAAAATACTGATTTGTATTTTAATAAGTTATTGATGAGTCCCCTTTTTACAATAACATTCACCATGGTCTAAATTCAGTGCTACTGTCTGCTTATGAATTTTTTTGCCATTGATCTATTCAGTTTGTTTTCCCTGTTACTCTAGCTGTAACTTTATCATGAATATATTTCTTAAACAGACTACATATTAATATCTGTGTCCTCAGCATTGGAATAAGCTACATTGAAATTATAATGCTTTGTTTGCCACTGGCAGCATTTGTTTAACATTTACAGTAGTGGTGTACTG